GGGGCCGGGGGGGGCGTGGGGAGGGGGCGGTGGGGGGGGGAGAGCAGTGCTGACCGCTGACCGCTTCCCCAGCCGCTCCTCTGTCGCCCTCCCTCTTCTCAGGGCTGGCACCACGGTCCCACCCCCACCCCCCACCCCGCCTTCCCAGGCCCTCCCAGGCTCTCCACGTAAGCCGCCCCTCCCCACCTGCCTAGTCGCTCCCTCCCCTCCCCCACCCGCATCCTCCTCCTCCTCAGTACCCTCTCCCTCCCTGTCCTCTCACCAAGTCCTCCCCTCCTCGTCTCTGTCCCTTGCCCGCTCACTGGCTTTCTCCTGCTCCCTTTCTCCCAGCCTCCCTCGCCCCGGTCTCTACCCAGCTGGCCCTCTCTCCTGCTTCCCCAGCTCCTCCTCCTCCCTTCCTCCCTTCCCCTGGTCTGCCTCCCTTGCCCCCATCCCATCCCCGCCCTGTCCCCTTTGTGCCCCTTCTCCCTTTTCCTCTCTCCTCCCCTGGCTTGGAGTCCCTTCTCACCTCTAACTCCCTTCGGCTCGGCCTCCCTGTCCCTTCACGGCCCGCTGGTCTCCCTGCCCGAGTCCTGAGCCACCATGCTGACCCCAATGGTGGCTGGGGGGGTGGTGTTCCCCGGACTCTTCCTCCTCTCCAAGAACACGCTCCAGCGGCTGCCCCAGCTGCGCTGGGAGGAGGCCGACGCGGTCATTGTCTCAGCCAGGTAAACCGCAGCCCTCCCCCCAGCCCCTCTCCCCCTCTCAGGCTTTCTGGGGAAGGAAGGGATCCCAGCATTGCCTGGACCTTTGGCCTAGTGGGGACTGGGCGCCCCTGCAGTGGTCGGGGAGGGGGGCTTTTCCTCCAGGTTCCTTCCCTCCTCACTGCCTCAACTCACTGTCCCAGGAGACCTCGTCCAAACCCAGCCATCTGGTCTACTAGTACTCAGACTGCTTCTCTTTCCTTCTCCCAGTCACCCTCCCACCCTGCAGAATAGGACCAGCATGTGACTAACACATTCCTATAGGATATTAGGGAACAAGGCAAGGGGAGGAGAGCCATATGTTCAGGGCATTGTTTGTGGGGACCAGGGACAGAGCAGTGACTGGTAGAACTCTGCACAACCTGGAGTAGGGCCAGAGTTGGCGATGGGAGCATGGTGGCCATCAAAGAAAGAGTAGACAAGTGGCCAAGGTGTATTAGGGTTCACTGAGGAGCCGGAGTGATGACCGGCATAGTGACTGGGCAGCCAAGTGGTGCAAGACCAGGCGCAGGGCTCCCCCGGCCCCCCTCGTGCCGCCCCCTCCCTTCCCAGGAAGAGGCCTTGTTATCAGCAACACATTCTCAGCATTGTCTCACCTCAGGGTGACCTCCCTGGTGTCTCCTGAGGGAAGGCAACTCAGTATCAACAGACTGAGAGAGGAGGAAGGCAGCAAGGAATGGGGTGAGCTGAGGAGCAGCTGAGCGAGTCCAGGAGCTGTGAGCAGTGCCAGCGGGTGAATCTGGACAAGCCCAGCCCAGGAGAAGTGGGCAAAGACAGCCCTGAGTAGTGTCTGAATCGAAACACAGTCACTAGACTAGCAAAGGGGAGAAGTCGAGGCATGCGTCTTTCTCTTCTACCACTGCTCCCTCTTTCTCCCTAGGCTAGTGTCCTCTGTCCAAGCCATCATGGCCTCCACGGCAGGCTACATCGTTTCCACCTCCTGCAAGCACATCATTGACGATCAGTAAGTGCCATGCAACCAGTAAGTGCCTCTGCAGGCTCCAGCAGGCTGTGAATATGTGTGACCCCAGAACACCCCATATCTTCGAGAGAGCTCTAGTGGGCCCCAAGCTCCTACCTTGGGCCTGAGCAAGTGAACTGCAGTAGCTGCAACTCAATACCAGGGACAAATTTGTCCCATCCTATCCTTAAAGGTCAGAACCAAGGGGAAATGGAGTGGGGATCAAAGAGAGTCCTGGAAGCAGTTCCTAGTTGGCTCCCTGGCCTCTTGCAGTGCGTTCCAAGTGTTGTTTCCTCTCTACATCCTTCTACCCTTAGACCCCTCAGACCCAACTGGCGTGCCCCCATCTTCATGCCAGACTCACCTCTCCATTCTCCCAGAATCCAGGCATCCATCCCCAGCCTCATGCACTAGGGAGAAGCAAGGACAGAGATGGCACCCACAAGGCCACTAGCGGTTAGGCAGTGGGGGAAGGGAGGGAGGGTGAAGAGGCCAAAATTTGGCACTGGCAGCTGCCGCAGTGCCTGGTGCTTGCCAGAAAAGACCAGGCCAGAGCTGGGGTAGGAGGAGAAACGAGCCCTGTCCGTGGTGCTGACGGCCAGTTCAGGTGCCCCACAGGCACCTTGAGTTGTGTGCGGGCTGCTGCTGATGACCAGGCCAGGCTTTTAGCCTCTGGTTCTGCTCCCCTTCTCTGGTGGTCACTGAGCCCCAGGGCATATCGTCTGATGACCCTGACGCAGAGGGGCCCCTTTTCTCTGCCTCCTCTTTACTCGTTGATGGGTTTCCCTTCCTGGAAGGGCTGCTGGGAGGAGAAGCTGAGTTGGTGTGGCACTGGCCTAGGACAGCTCTTGGCTCATACGCAGCAGATGCTTAACTCTTTCTCCAGACCCTGCCCGGGGGCTTGGCTTCCTCCTGCCTTCCCCCTCCCCTTCCCACTGCTGGGTCGGCCTGAGCCTGGGCTCCCAGGCGTTCCCTCCTCATCAGCCTCCTGCACAGAGGTCACCTTTTGGCTCTTGCCAAAGGCCTCCCCGCCCTCCAGTTCTGCTCTTGTCCCTCCTTCCCCTTTAATCCTCAGGTAGGTGGGAAGGATCAGGGATAATCCAGGGGCAACAGCTGTTCCTACTCTGAGCACCTAATTGTTGAGAGGGTGGGGAGGTGACTTAACACCTCACACCGCTCCCCAGGGTGGCTCCCTGTCCTCCCCGATGGCCTAGTGGCCCTGTCTCCCACTGTGTCTGCCAGGCCGCTCTCTGGGCCGCCCTCACTATAATGTCTCGCAGGCCGGCTGGATCCGTTTCCATTCTCTCCCTGTATCCCTCTCCCCTCTACCTGCCTCCCAGTCACAGTTCCAGCACCACTGCACCGTGGGCTCAGGTTCACTCTTCCCTGAAGTCCTCCCTGCCTGAGAGTGGGCCGCCTCTCCCTTTGTCAGCCAGCCTGCCCCAGAGTTGCCTCCTGCTTCCACCGCCCCTGGTCCTTAGCGGCCTCACCCCCAGCTTCTCCATGTCTCCCGTAGCACCTCCTCATATCTGAGTTTAGCTTTTTTTTGCCTGTGGTTTCTGTCTGGCTTTGCTCTCATCACTCCACCCGTCTGAGCTTGCCCAGCCTGGATCTGCCTTTCCAGCCTCCCACCCCACCTCAGACCTGTCTCGGGACCCCAGGATTTAAGAGAAAGGGCCAATGTACTGAGTCGGGAAGAAACACGCAGTGTTGCATATTCATGAACTTCTCAGTTTTGTTTACTCTCAATGTACGTAGAATTTTCTCTGCTCTTGGCTCCTTTTACTCGGCGTTTTCTCCTTAATGCTTGGCTGTACCTGAAAACAAACAAACGAGATTGGGTCACATTTGGGCAGAACAGAAGGCAATGTCAGCACCTTTAAGTCACCAGTGGGGCCTGTCTCTGAAACTCTTGAGTCTTCTAGGAGCAGTGGGTTGACCACGAGAGCTGTGGAGCCAGATTTCCCATGTCTATTCCTTGGCCAGATTACCTAGCCTCTCTGTGACTCAGTTTCCTCATCTGTACAGTGAGGATGATCACCATACCTACTTTTGATTGGGTTTTGATGAGGGGGAGATAAGTTTATGCATGCAAAAGCTCTAGAATGTTAGAACAGCACCTGCATGTTGTGAGTAGGCACTGGTTGCCGATGTGGTCTCTCCCCCTTGCTGTCGCCCCTTCTCTGCTATTTGTCCTCACCTCAGTGGTCTCCGTACCTCGCCTGAGTTGGTTTCACACTCCATCTCTGCCCTTTGGTCTGCAGATGTCTGTGATCCCTTTTCCTTTTGCTCTTACCATATTGCAGAGAAAGAGAGGGAAACGTGGGTGGGTTCTGAGGTCCATCCAGCACTGCCACTTACTGACTTCGTGACAATGTGACCTTGGGCAAGTTTCTCACCCTCTAACCTTGGGTTCCATCACCAGTAACTCAAGACTCCACTTTCCTCTCAGGGTTGCTGTGAAGATCCCTTGAGATCTGACTCATGCTCACAGTCTCTCTCCCCCTGGTCCCCTCTTTCTCTACCTGACAGACACTGGCTCTCCTCTGCCTACACGCAGTTTGCAGTGCCCTACTTCATCTATGACATTTACGCCATGTTCCTCTGTCACTGGCACAAGCACCAGGTCAAAGGGCACGGAGGGGATGATGGGGCCGCCAGAACCCAGGGCAGCACGTGGGCCGTGGCGCGCGGCTACCTGCACAAGGAGTTCCTCATGGTGCTCCACCATGCTGTCATGGTGCTGGTGTGTTTCCCGCTCTCGGTGGTGAGTTCTCCAAGGGCCAGGCAGGCCAGAGGCTCAGAGCCTGGTCCTCCTTGTCCTGCTCATGCCAGCACTGCAGGAGCCTGAGAGGCCCTGGGTCTGGGTACCAGCAGCAGGGCAGGCCCAAAGTGGCACCGGGAAAGCCATTGATGGGGAGGTGGTTATTGAGCCCTAGCCCAGCTCCAGTCCCAAGAGGCACGAGGGTCTAGACTGTGTCCAGCTACGGTGCTTTGGAGCTGTTGCATGTTTCTGAGCCTCAGTTTCCTCATCTGTAATGTCAGGTATCCAACCTTACCTGCAGGACTGTTGGAGGGGCACAGTGAGGTTATGCACCAGCTTTGCTACTGCACACACGTGTTCAGACTGCCAGAGTTCAGCATTTTCAAGAGCAACGGAGGGGAGAGAGAGCAAGGGCTGGGGCCGCCCAAGAATTCAAGGCCCAGCCCCTTACCCTTCTCCTCTGCTCTCAGGTGTGGCGACAGGGCAAAGGGGATTTCTTTCTGGGCTGCATGTTGATGGCAGAGGTCAGCACCCCGTTCGTCTGCCTTGGCAAGATCCTCATCCAGGTGAGAGGGTGCCTAAGCGTATGTATCTGTAGGAAGGGCACAGGAGGGGCAGGCGGAGTGTTGGGCCTGGGAGCAGCTGTAGGCTGGGGCAGTGGGGGGGG